GAAGAAAGATACAGTACTGAGAGAGAAAATTTTAGGATAACGGCTTACAAAGAGCAAAACTTTCTTTCGCAAAGCAGAAGGGGTGTATCCGAAAACGAGCTAGTCGTTATGAAAAAAACTTTGAAGAATTCCGGAGGTGCAGAACAAGACAATTATGCAGCTAGTTATATCAAAAAAAGTTGATTTTCGTAAATGACGCCATAGAACTGTAATATACACGACCATGTTTATAAGACATTCAGTACCGAAATTTTTTTCATCAATGGTATTTCAAGATCTGATAAATCAGATTTTTTCAAAATTAGACGAGAAACTGTTTATGGCTGGTTAGGTGGGATACAACTTTGACCTGTTCAGAAGCACTGCTAAACATCACACCATTTGGAAAATATATTTGACATCACTGTTCTCTCCTGCTGTTATGTTTAAATTATCTGTATGTTTTTTTTTGTTTAGCTTTCGTCTGCTAATTTGTTGCCAGAAGAATTTGCATTTTCGAGATGAGTTTTAGTCGGCCTAAAACAGTTCTGCCACCACTTCCAAAATATCCAGGGATCATCAAAGCGTAAGTCTTTTTCTACTTCAGACTTCAACATACCTCCTTTTCATTATACTTTTTCGGTAAAACGTCATCTTCAACATCAAGTACAATTCCTAAGAAAGAGCATTCGCTCACTACAACGTCGAAACAAGCTTCAAGACAATCACTAAGACCTACACCTTGTTCGGCTGTGTCTCATAAAACAAAAGAAGAACGAAAGCCGTCCGTAACTTCTTCAAAATTCTAGAAAAAAGAAATTTGATGACAGCCTATTTTGTTTGTTTAGTGTTGTGCCAGATTGTTTATCACGAAATGTTGAAAGGCAGATAGCGATAGGTCCATCGACAAAGGATCAATTAAACGATACTACTGAGTAAGAGAAAAATGCTTAATTTTCGCTGAACAGTAGAACAATTCTTGATATAATGCTCTAATAATTCAGCTTTTAGAATAGCGAACAAGTTTTTTGAGATAAAGAGATATATATATATATGTTTGATAAAAAGAATGTCAAAATGGATCTATCTTCTGAAAAAATGCATTGTTATCTTTCATTTTCTTTTCCTTATAGTAATTTACAATCAATTGTCAAACGTTCAGAAGAAATTTTGTTGACACCAGTTCATTGTTCAACAAACGCACAGTTATCAAATAATCTTCGTCGTACAAAATCACTTCGTCTAACAAAAGCAGATATCGATCGTCGTTCAAACGTCAAACCATCTTTATCAAGTAATAAAATACATGATTTTGATAATAAATCGATGTCAGATAGGTATGTATAATAAGAAAAATGTTATTTGTTTGTCTTTCATTTTATACTCATATTTAGATCCAGTGAGCATGGAAATAGTAATAGTGCTTTACAGCGTCGTGGTTCTATGAGAAATCTTTCGTCTATTGACAAATTTAGTGGTATTCGATGTTGTTTACAAAACACTTCAACAAAAATACAAGCGTGTAAGTTATCTGTTTATTAAGTAATCTTTATTTGGCCGAAAATAAATCATATATCGACTTTTTGCATGTACAATCGTCACAAAGCTAGACTCCTCGAAAATATGCACACAGGATTTCTGATTGATTTTAGTCAGGGTGGAAATTTTTTGCTCGCAGACAGTCTTTTTTGAAAGTCGGCGTACAGTTTTTTTAACCAAGTAAAACATCTATTCAATGCAAAGAAGTTTTCCTACTCTACACCAGAATTTTGTTTTTCAACGAAACGCGTCACGATATGCTTGCCTTTTCTCGCTTCCATGTTTTTTCTTGCTATATCTTCGTCTCATTCGCGATCAATTTTTTCAACTCAATTGCGGAATTCGAATTTAAATAACTGTCTGCCAGTTACTTTGACAGATAGCTTATTGGTTGTTGAATGTTTTAAAGTAGCTACTGGTAATAGCTGTCAGTCTCTTATAGTCTGTCAGATCAAATATTTGCAATATAATTGCGATATTTGTTATGCTTAGAAAAATATTCGACAAATTTTTTCCAGGCTCAAAACTCCA